GGATCACTGTTCCTCAGGCTGGGACAGGAGATCACACACTGGGCTGCAGCTCTAATGCGCTTCCTCCTCCAGTAGGACTGGAAGCTGCTCCAATTCTGGCAGGTGGGGGAATTCTGGAATTAGAATTGTTATTTTAGGTAAGAATGTTTGTCTAATCCCTGAGTATTTCTCACAGTGCATCTCTGTTTCTGTTTCTTTCTGCTGGTAGTAGGATCACAGCCTGAACTGTATGTGTCCAGTTTCTATAGCCAGACTGTGGTCACTGATTCTGTATTTTGTATCTCTACCCTGATCATTTACTCAGCTAGTGTGTATTATCTTTTTGGGGTCCTGTAGCAATCGAATTTGTGTTATATTTGAATGTCCCTGTGGGTAAGGTAGTGTTGTCTGGCTTGTGCATCGTTGCTTGTTTAATGTATTTGTGAAGATTCCTTCTCCTCTCAAACTGTTGTGGTTTGTATATTGGAGCCTCTGCAGCTAGGCAAATGGGTCTGGGTCTCACAGCACACAGCGCTGACCACAACACACCCTGGTACAGGACACAGCTCTGACCGCAACACACCCTTGTACAGCACACAACTCTGACCACAACACACCTCCGGACAGCACACAGCACTGATCACAACACACCCTCGTACAGCACACAACTCTGACCACAACACACCTCTGGACAGCACACAGCTCTGACCACAACACACCCTTGTACAGCACACAACTCTGACCACAACACACCCCTGACAGCACACAGCTCTGACCACAACACACCCCTGACAGCACACAGCTCTGACCACAACACACCCCGGTACAGCACACTGCTCTGACCTGACCACAACACACCCCTGACAGCATACAGCACTGAACACAACACACCCTGGTACAGCACACTGCTCTGACCACAACACACCCCTGACAGCACACAGCTCTGACCACAACACACCCCTGACAGCACACTGCTCTGAACACAACACACCCCGTTACAACACACAGCACTGACCACAACACACCCCGTTACAACACACAGCACTGACCACAACACACCCCAGTACAGCACACAGCACTGACCTAAAAAAAACCCAGCATAGTTGAAGGGAAGATTTTTCTGAAGATCCATCCATCCACACAAACACACACCCGTACACACAAACACACCGACACACAGGAGCTCAAACACACGAATAGACAAACACATACCCGCACACAAAAACACGTCTGAACACACACAGACAAAGACACAGGAGACAAACACACCTGCACACAAACACTTGTACAAACACACCCGCACACATATGTATGCACCACACACACAAAAACATGCTCACAAAGACACACCTGCACACAGGCCCACAAACGAAAGCACACACGCACAAAAACACATACATGCACCACACACACAGAGACAATGCAGAGACAACATTTAACTCAGGAGCTTGTGTTTGCACAATGGGGAGGTGAGACTGTGAATAAGACAAAATGACAACAGAGCTCCTCCTTTCTTTCACTGTTGCTTTTACTGCCTGGTGAGAGAGGAGATTACTGTGTGTGCAGGAAGGACGAGGAGGACTAGAAAGAGCAGGCATTGTTTGTATTGATGTATGATTCTATATTTTGAAGAGGTCTGTGAGAGGGTCAGGGTGTCTGAAGAGCAGATGAATAATAATAACAATTGAACAGGTCTTACAGCCATTAGCTGTGGTTCAGTAGTGGAGGCGGCAGGTCTGCACATTGCTCTTCAGAGCCCCTGTGCCTAGTAGGGAACCAGCAGGCTGCACTGGAAGATGTTGGGGTCCCAGTGAGTGTCGGGGGTCAGAGGAGAGGAGAAGGAAGATCTATGCTTCATTCTGCAGGGGTGCAGATGGCTGGGCTCTGTTCCAGGAGGTGGTGAATTGGTGGGCGGTTTCTCTCCCTTCCTTAATTTCCCCAACGTCACTAGAAGGGAGGTGCCTGGGCAGCCTGTGCCCATGTGTAGCCCGATCCTGCCATGTGCAGTCCAGGAGCTCCGACCTGCTGACGCGCCGACAAGCCAGGCTTGTGTCTCTCTGCCGGAGTGATGGAGCCCTCTGACAGCCCTGCTATGTAAGTCATCTCACAGAAGGCAGGACGCCCTGCTCCTCCATGATCTGCTCTACTAATCCACTCTCTAAGCAAGTCTGAATATTCTTTATCCATTGCCTTTATAACTCGCTCCCTAATTCCTAGATGACAAATTACTAACATACAGTGTATATATAAAGACTAACTTGTGCTAACTACAAACAGTTTAAATGAAAGGGGCTTTTTTTTCCATCTATCACTGCTAAAGCTGTTTGAAAACAGGGATTAAAACCCAAAATTCTGATGAAAGCACTTCAGCTGCTCTGCCCTGGAGGAATCGTAGCTGTGTAGGTACACTGAGCTGTACGGATTCTCCCTGCCTTGTGCTGCAGTCCGGGTGGATCTCAGTCAGGATCAGCGCAGGCTGTGGACACGAGCAGAGGGACACCGAGGGTTTTGTACTGGCTATCCCAGGGAACAGTGTCACACCCTCACCAGGTCTCCTTAGGAAAGTGACCAGACAGGCAACGAAGTTTGTTTGGACTGTCAATTCATTGTGTTTTTACTAATCAACAAGGAAAAAATCAGCTTTGACTTTTTGAAGGTTTCAAACTTTGATTTTATTATGGCCTATTTTTTCTCCCTATCTTTAAATACTTCTTTTTTAATAACAAACCACGTTGACAGCAATCCTTGTTTGTGGCTCTTAGAGGACACAGGCAGGCAGGATGTGTTGTGAGCAGGTTCGTCGTACACAATTGCTATAGATTGTAAAAATGTAGCAGTGTGTTTCTCTTTTTTTATATTTTCAAGTGACTTTTCTATGCCTCAGTAAGCTCTGAGCTCTAACAGTTTCAAAAGAAAATGTGAATAACAAGAGCTGTGGTTGTGGTTATGACAGTGAAATCATAGTGTGGTTATGATATGATAATGTCCCTCAGCTATTAGACCTCGTCTATAGAGAATTCACAGTAATGAGGAACCAGACGAGCCCTTGAATTACTTGACACTTGGGGTGAACTCCCCTGATAACACTGACTTTCACTTCACTCAGGATATTAGGATACGCTAGGACCCCCAGAGTCAATTCTCTCAACAGAAGGCAGTGTGTGGTTGAGGGTTCCTAATATTTTGGCCGGTGGGTGTAGGTCACTTAGCTGAAAGAAGAAT